TAATTGTACTTCTCCGCAGTATAGAAAGCTCAAAACGATCAATTATTGTTTAAATATTTTAAAAGTAGCGGACAGATTTGTCGAATTGGATGATTCAACTATTGTTGAAATACAAAATTTTGCTTCATATCAAAATGAAACTTTTTTAATAGGACTCAAGTATATTCCACACAAAGATTTTTATTCAAAGCCATGTTCATCTTCATTATTTAATATTAAAATAATTGAGAGATACAATACTACTGTACTTCAAATGTGGAAAATTGACAAGATCAAAAGAAAATTACTAGTTTTACCGTATAATGATCAATATGTTGTATTTCCTCTACTGCATTTATGATTATCTTAAATAATTTCGTGACAATAATAATTGATCACATTCTTCGGTAATCTTTAGCTAGCTAAAAATAAATTAAAACATAGTAATTAGTTGATTCTAAACTTTTTGACGATAGTGTATACTGCAATATTAATTAACTTTCCTTTTTTGTCATGTTGATTTTTTGTTTGAAAGGACTAAAACCAACGATGGAAAGCTAACGAAAAATATAACTTTTCTTCTCGTTTAGCTAGCATAAGGTTTTTAAATATAATTAATTCAATATATGATTATTTAAATTTATTAATGTGTTTATTGCGTACATTTATTATTAATCTGTATTTAACGTGTATTTATTTGTTTTAGAAAAAATATAATATTATTTTTTTGTAGTCTTTACTAATTACATTTTACAAAAAATTCTTACTAAATTGTGTGAATTTTATAACTAATTGTTTTTTATATAAATATATTCGCTGAGATATACCATATAAATAGAAGTTCAACTCAGCGATTGGAGTCTGAAATTTGCTACTGACAGATTGTTAAATCACTGAACCCGAATATCCCTACCCCACGAAAAAGTTAAAATAAAAAATTATCAGTATGTTGAGGGTATAATAATAACAAAAGAAATTCTGAAAAATAGGGTCAGTTATGGTATTTATTTTATTCTTTGATTGATCTTGATTTATTTGCTAAATTATAGTTTTTCTCAATTGGTATATTTTGATTGATTTATTTCATCCCCTATTTGAGAAGTTTTTAATTGATTAAATTTAAGCTTTAGGAATTCATAAGCATTCATTTATATGTGCATAGATGACTTGGCTTGTCGTTCGATTTAAAGAAGATAATACTGCTGAGGCAGTACTAAAAAAATGGTTCCTGACAAAAGAATCTGTATGCTATTGGCCACCAAAAAATTATGATAACGCAACTATTAAATCATTGATAAAAAAATCAGTATAGTCCTGATTCGAAAGGGATGAAATACGGAACAATTATTTTAGGCACATATGGTAAATGTAATTTATATTATATTAAATTTTCATGAAATCACATTAAGTAAAATTTTTATAAAAATAAATAATTAACTTATTAATAAAGAATTAAACTCAAACTATGCTATTAATACAATTTTTAAAAAGACATCCCACTGAATACGTCACAGGCGCAGGATATTTAGGGTAAAGGCGGGCATTATGGCCAGGCGGGTAATATGGCCACAATGCCCGTATTAAATATTCTAAACATTGATGAACATCGATAATGTATAAAAACCAATTCTTGCAGCTATTCTTAAAGTTTGGTAACAAGAACCTCTCTATTTTGTTGTTATTTGTGGTTTGGTGCTTCATTGTTCTCCACAACCATCAAAATATACACGTCAAAGTGAGACATGGTACTTCCAACTAAGTAAGATTTTTAAATTAAAACAAAATAATTTTGGCTTTTCTCATTACACATTTCAAAACCTGAACCTTGGCTATATTTTTATAATAAATTTATCGTGCTTTGCCCATTGTTTTGATAATTATAATGCACATTCTTAAATGTATGCTCGGCGGCTAATATGGCCAGCGAGTGAAACGAGAGAGCAGCGAGTACAACAGAGTGTAGAATACGCCAGTGCTGAGAGTAACAGCGGAGAAAGATAAGTTATTATTAATAAATTGTGAGAGCACGGCGTTACGTAGAGAGAGCGGAGAGGAGAGGGGGGGGGGGGAGGAGAGAGAGAGAGAGAGAGAGAGAGAAAGCGAGCCCGAGATTCGAGCGAGCCGGCTAACCTCAATCCGACGTAAGTTTAATACTCGCGTATAACTACACGGTTGTCTCGCGCGCGCGGTCTGCTATGCTTATACTTGACGCGAGACACTACCGTGTCTCGTGATGACAGCCTAGCAAACACCAAAGTAACAATTACATAACATCAATGCAAATGTAATGTAACAGGCATGTGTTATATTACATTTATGTTGATGTTATGTAACTGTTACTTTGGTGTTTGCTGGGAGGTTTCCTAATCTTTCCTTTCTCGTCTACTTTACAAACTTACCCCATTGGCAGATAACGAAATGGCTTCAATAAATAAAAATAAAAGAGGACTCTGGACAGAAGAACAATTACAAAATGCTGTGACGGCTGTTAAAGAAACTAATCTTTCTGTAAATCGTGCATCGTTAGAATACAAAATTCCAAGAAGAACGTTGAGAAGAATTTTAGCAGAAGATGGAGAGATAAAGAAAAAAGTATTAGGACGTCCACCCGTCTTGAATCAAAAGGAAGAACAGAATTTGAAAAATAGAATTGTTCGACTCCAACAAGTGGGCTTTGGGTTAAAGCGTCAGGATTTTAAAAAATGTGTTTTTCAATATTGCGAAGAAATGGGAATTGAGCATCCGTTTAAAATAGAAAAAGAAGAAGCAGGGAAGGACTGGCTAAAAGGTTTTATGATGCGAAATCCCGATATTGTTTTGAGAAGTTCAGAAAACTTGAGCTATGGGAGACTCATGCGATTCAATAAGGAAATTGTAAGGGATTTTTATGATCTGTTAGGACGTACAATGGACGAATTAGATTTACACAACAATCCACAATTAATTTACAATGTGGATGAATCCGGTTTGCAACTTTCATATAGCAATAAGTTCAAAGTATTAGCACTCAAGGGAAGTAAACGAGTGCATACTGCTACACATGCTGAGAAAGGTGAAACCGTTACTGTAGTAGCCTGCACAAATGCTACTGGATCAAATTGGATTCCTCCAATCATACTGTATAAGGGAGTTCATAGAAAATTAGAATTTGGTGATGGACTGCCACCTGGAAGTAAGTTTGCCATGACACCAAAAGGATACATCACCAAAGAAGAATTTTGTAACTTTCTTACTCATTTCAATCAACACCGCATACCAGGAAAATGTCTTCTGATCCTTGATGGCCATCGCACTCATCTTGATTTTTCAGTATTGGAGCAAGCACGAAACTACAATATAGAGATTTTGTGCCTACCTGCCCATTGTAGTCACGAGTTGCAACCGCTTGATAAAAGTTGTTTTAAACCTTTAAAACATTATTGGAATGAAGCTCTGGACAACTACCGTCGTTCTCACCCTGGAAGATCTGTTTCCAAGTATCAATTTCCAGTACTTTTTAATCAAGCGTGGATGAAGACTTCAACTGCAATTAATGCAGTTTCGGGATTCAGGGCAACTGGTATTTTTCCTTACAACCCCAATGCTATTCCCAATGTTGCATTCGCTCCTAGTTCTATTTCTGACAGGCCCCAGCAAGAAAATTCAGAAATAAACAATGTTCCAGAGACGGATGAGAATACCTCAGGGTTAATTGCAAGGCTCACCACGCCTACGCCCACGCCTCCACATAGTGCCGATACATTTCAGACATTGCTGCTAACACCCGACATAAAGAGGAAATCAACAACATTGAGCAAACGATCACTTAATGTAAAGGCTAAGGTAGTCACAAAGTTATTCGATGAACTTCAGACTGAAATAATACAACCTGCTACTCCTGGAAGTTCTGGAACTCAGAAGAAGTTTAAAAAGAAGAAGAAGGGAGAACTTTACTGCGGAGATTGTGGAGGCTATTTTTATGACAAAAAAATGAAAGAAAGAAGTGTGATTGGCTACAATGTTGTAAATGCTCTACATGGTTCCATGAAACATGTGATGGAGGAAATATTGCAGAAACTGGGCTCTGTTTAAACTGTGATTCCGATTAAATGTTTATTTTAATGCCTTGATATTATGTTTATATTAATATTTTTATGTTAAATGTTTATTTCTTAAATGTGTAGGTATGTTTAAAATATTTCAGTTATAACAGTTTATGTATAAATGTTTATTTCTTAAATGTGTATGTTTAAAATATTTCAGTTATAACAGTTTATGTTCTGTACGTAAAGTAATACTTTACAATTAAAGTAAATACCTCACTTTTACAAAATATTACTGTTTTGTACACTTTTCTTATAGTTGGCCATATTACCCACCCCACGTTTAATATGGCCAAAACGCATACTTTCGGATTTTTTTTTCTTCGAATATGAATAGATTTTAATTGATCAAGATATTTTGTCATCAAAGCTTATTAAATACACTAGGATTTCAGAAAGTTACAAAATAAAAAGCGGATTGAAAATTATGACCTCAAATCAAAACTATGGCCATAATACCCGTCTTTACCCTATGTACACCAACGGGCCACGCCATGACGTATTCATGGAATATTCTCTTAATATTTATAATTATCAAAAACTTATAACAAGTTCTGCAATGTAGAATAGTTCTGTGTATTTTTAACAGTTTCATGTGATTAATACCATTATTTCGTATTATATGTACATGCATACATTTGTTTGATAATAATTCTATAATGTGCAACAAATTTCGGTGCTCCTTATTAATTATATTATTCGTTATATACAAGTAATGTTTGTTTAGGTGATTTAAAAATTGCTAGAAAAAAGGTAATCAAAGCACAAAGTACAGATGACCTTTCATCACATACGGAGATTGTAAGAAAAAAAATTAATAAAATACATAAGCAGAGACAAGGCATGAATAAATACAATGATACTGATTCCGATACTGATAAGTCTAACTGTGATATGTCTGATGAAGATAGTAACACATACCCATCATTTCCACTTTCTGGCAACAAACATGTTGAACATGGTAAAATAATTACTTTCCTAGTAAGAATTCGTTTTATTTTCAAAATTTAATTTTCTTTCTATTTTACAGATAGTAATCGCTCTCGAACGGAAAATGAAGATCAAAATATTACTAATGGTAAGTATTTTTGAAACTTCAATCTTCGTATAATAAAATACGTATTAACCAGAACAATATACTAAAGAAACCAAATCCGTATTGGTTTGTTGCGTATCCTCGTAATAAGTTAAGATCCACAGTTAAGATAAGACCTGTTAAAATCTTGTAAATCAAAAAGTTGAAGATAATGATAAATAAACAAGGCTTTACAGTTTTAATGTAGTTATTTCATCAAAGTATAAAAGAGATATGACAATGAAAAGATAGGCAAGTAAAAATATAAGTCCATTGCGAGTTTATTCTCCCGGTTTCGTATCAATTTGTGAACAACATATCATCCATACGTATTATTAATGATACGGGAAACAATTTTATTGCGGTGCATTTTATTGCATAATTATTTACAACTCAAAATTATGTATAATACACGAATACGCAACACATTCAACGGTTTAGTGATTTATACATTTTAATATCTACTTTTGTTTAAGATAACATATTCCATAATAATATACATGTAAAAGATTATTATTTCAAGATTGATGTTTTTCAATTCTAATAATATATTAATTTATCCCACTGTAAGACCGGTAGCACGCGTGGATTCAACACGGAAAAAGTCATCAAGATGTGTATTCCTATGGTAGTTAGGTAGCTACGCCGCAGTCTGCTGTAGTGTGCTATTATAGGAATACATGTGTTGAAACGTTTTCTTCATTGAATTTATCCATGTACTATCTTAATATAATAACCAGTTATATTAAATAACGATCATTAATTAATAGAATCATATTTTCTTGTTATTTTAAGATAACTTGAAGCCAGCTACAGAAAACGTTCATGTAAATGATGGTAAATAATTATTTTTATTTATTACTAGTATTTTTATATTTTTTGAAAACGCTTTATTATAATATTCTAATAATAATTGTAATACAACTCAACTTTCAAATTTTCAGAATTCAGAAAACAACTTTTAAAAAAATTCATCTTATTCATCTGAAATTAAATGATCTCATGAGTTACGTTGATATACTTACTAAAAAAGTCAGATATACTGATGAGCCAGAACTTAATGATGATACTAATGCGGCTGTTAAGACTAATACAATCGTTTCCAGTCACTGCAGAGCAGCAACTAATATTAATGGAAGAATGGCTATCGAGTTCAGCTGATAACATACATGCATTGGTGTATAAAATTACCCTATATTTTAAGAGGTTATTTTACATGACAAAAGAGATTTTCTAACAAATAAATAATATTATTTTATGAATTTTATATTTTAGAGTCATCAACTGCGTTTAATTGGAAGCGTGGATCTTTGCCATGTGATCGCGTTATGTCGAGAGCAATTTCAAACGAAGTTGGGATGCTGTATTCTTGGGAGGGAGCTGGGCAAAAAAAAGGTTTTAAATCGTTAAAGTTCGTCCAAGTTATCATTGGTAAAATATATTATTTTGTACACTCTACTTAACAACAATTTTTAACACGTATACATCCTTGATCCTAGTCTCGTGACATAACTGTGTTACGTAACCAAATGATACTTATGTGATAGCCAAATAGAAAAATTTTACTTCGAACCTAATCTTGTTACATAACTTCATCGCTTTCATTCTTTGATCCACTATTTTTTATTTAATACATTTCTTATATGTTTATAGTTCAATCTGATATGTATCCAATACTGCGTAACTGTATTAATGCGTAACATTATTATACGCGCGACAAAGAAGTATTGATACTCCAATTCAACCGAATATATTTTGTTACTCTATCTTTTTTGCAAAAGTATATTCTCTACAAAAATATCTTCTCTACAAAACTATCTTCTCTACAAAAGTAATGATACCAACAAATTGCGTCAAATATAACAACGGATATTTATACAAACTAGTTGCTTTAGTATTAATTTTTGATTAAAAATGTTATATTTCTTAAAAAATCAAACTAAAGATTTTATTGGGAAAAATAATGGAGTTAATAATAAAACACCAATGAAAAGAATAGCAACTGTTTAGAAATTTAGAAACTCTGTATCTATTCAGGCGAATTAAGGCCTGTGTCCATGACGCTAGTACTTGGTCCAAGTTCTAGTTTTGAGAAATGCGTAGCCATCAATTTGCAGCTTTTGGGGAACAGCTATATTGATTTGCTACATATTTCACGGAATTTTGTAGAGAAGATATTTTTGTAGAGAATATACTTTTGCAAAAAAGATAGAGTAACAAAATATATTCGGTTGAATTGGAGCTTCTACTTGGTGCTTTTTTACCTTTTTTTAAAAAGTTAAAAAGTTTTTTACGTGATATCACACCTTTTGTAGTGTTATTTCTACACCGTGTTGGTTTGCCGGCGTGGTGCTTTCGCGGCGTGGTGCTTTCGCGGCGTGGTGCTTTCGCGGCGTGGTGCTTTCGCAGCGTGCTGCTTTCGCAGCGTGCTGCTTTGCCGCGTGTTGCTTTCGCGGTGTGTTGCTTTCGCAGCGTGTTGGTTTGCCGCGTGTTGCTTTTGCGGCGTGTTGCTTTTGCAGCGTGTTGCTTTCGCGCTAACCAACGCGCGGCGAAAGCAACACGCTGCGAAAGCATCACGCCGGCAAACCAAGACGGTGTAGAAATAATACGCGACAGCAACGCCAATGCCACGTTGCGGCAGAAAAGTGAAAAGGACGCTGGTCTGGTCGACGACGACGACGACGACAACGACAAAGATGTTTCTTAATCCAAAATTTCACAAAACTGACTTTGCATTGCAATTGCATTGCAATACCTCCACTCCTGGGGCACGTAGGAGAAAAGTAAAAACACTTTTATTATGCAAATCGTACCCAAGCTATCGATTAAGCGCAGTCTCAAGTTCGTCGGATCAGCCGTTGTTGAGATCCAAAAATCTGAGGGCCCGTCAACTCGTGTACTCGCGTAAACTTACACGGTCGGTCTTGCACGCGTATACTAGCTATGCTTACACTTGACGCGAGACACTACCGTGTCTCGTGATCAGTAGGTCGTTCTGAATCTCAAAATGTAACCTTGTAATACGTGTATTATGCGACAATGTTACACATTAAAGTTCGCAGGTCTGTCCATCCCGGGTTCACAAGTCGATAATCAAATCGATATCAATTTGATTTTTCGGACCGTTTGATTCGATCAACTAGATTCTTCATTCGTAAGATCTTGCGAAGATCAATGAAGAATCTATTTGTTGAGGAATCGGCTTTACCGACAGCCCCCTGACACACTCTCCATCCCTCCGCAAGCGAGAACTTCCTTCGCGCCTGCGCTTTTGCTACTACTTGTTCCGAAAAATTTGTAACGCAAACACCTTTTCTCACCCGAATAAAACTAATCTTTTTCTTTCCTCGCACATCCAAGCTGGAATTTATTCGCGCTCACCTAAGTTTAACAGGTTATGGGCCCAGAAGAATTGTGCGGGAAATAGTTTCGGTAAAAAGTGAAGAAAAGCGAGAGAATCGAGAATACTCCAAGCGCCGGTTTCCTTTTGAGGTTATTCCCTGCCACGAGCGATAGTGGAAACATAACCAAGCGACAATGGAAAGCGAACTCTCAAGAGTAGTGAGACTCAAGAACATCGAGAACTGGAACATGTGGAAATTTCAAATAAAAGTGATTTTGAGATCGCACGGTGCGCTGAAAGTGACTCTCGGGACCGAGGTAAAGCCCGAGGCGCCGGCCGCGGATGCCGCTGCCGCTGCACGGGCGGCGCACGAGAAAGCTCTCGCCGCGTGGGAGAAAGCCGACGCAACAGGGCAAAAGGTGATCGTCACGACGATAGGAGAACAGCCGACGCTGCACATTATGAACTGCGACTCTGCTGCGGAGATGTGGGGACAGCTCGAGTCGATATACGAGCAGAAATCGGAGGCGAATGTGCACATGCTGCAACAAAACTGGTACAGCGCAACGAA